AGCAGGAGAAATATAAACTGTGGTTAAATACTTTATTTTAAAAACTGTGAACAGCTAGAATTGGAGACACTGATTTGCACAGTTCTCAGTTAAACCAGTGTTCCACATAATGCATATCCTGATGAATGTAATCTATAGCCCAGTGTTTTAATACTTTCATATTTCCAAGTACCGAGATGCTTAAAAAAATAACCTCATTGCTAAATACTAACTCACCAAGAGGGCATGGTTTTTCTATTTCTTCTTATTTTCTTTGATACTTTAAGAACTATGGTCATGGCAGCAGGGTTAGGCCAGAAGAACATACAATTAAAAACCTCAGTATTTTCAGTTTATGCTGGTGGGTGATTCATGAAACAGCATGCTAAGTAGTGCGCCCTGGCAGCAGGTGATTGAAGTTTGGCTGCAAGAACGCAAAAAGCTTGCTCACAGCAGTATCTTGTCATTGGTTCCAGTGTAGTGAACCAATTAGCTTTTTATCCACCTCTTTGCATATAGCTGTGGAAAGCGTTATTGTCTTCCGATTATAGGGAAAACCCTTTTTAATCCATGATTTCGAAAACCTCCTTAATCCAACCTCTGGTGTAAACAATGCCTTATTCTCTGAGGACGTTGGAAATATACATAATGTGCTACACAAAGTAGCAATAAGTGAATGGCGGCTAAGATCACAATATTTTATATTAAAATGTTGTGCAATATATTTCCCTTTTCATTTGGGTGCATTGAAATAATTACTGCATTTAAAAAGCAAATGGATTAAAGTATATTTTTGTCAAAGCCCTGAACTTTTAAAGTAGGGTATTAATCTAACACAGTAAATCCATGAGGTTTTGTCTGCAGGACAGTTTCACCCTTTGTGAGCGAGAGGTACCTAAGATTAGCTTGGAAATGGCAGGGATTTTTAAAACATGGTTTCTGACAGAGCAGCTACAACTGCTGTTATCTGGCAGCACCGTATTATACAATATCCTGCACATCTGTCCTGTTTGGCAATAGTTAGCATAATGCTTGCTGTTTAATTAGGCTTTTTATCTTTGCATTTGTCTGAGAACATCTGAAGCCTTCCATGTTGCCTGTCACT